AAAATGTCAGGTTGAAATGTCTTATTTAAAATGATAAACTAGCAAATAAATAGTGTCTATTATCTCGACTATTAGACTGTTACTCACAGCTGAATAAAGTCTGTTTACTTTTAACCAAGTTGACTAATCTTGTAAATCTTTTAGTTACACCTTGTCCGATCATCTCCAGGTGTAGAGGATTTACAAGTTCAATTCTCATTTTTTTTCCATATCTGTTCCCTCACAGTGATAGTACTATTACATTATTTTGACTTGCCTTAATTGAAATACTGTTAATAGTCAAAAGTAAATAATTATAGACAAATTCTAAAAAAATACATTGGGCATATTTAAGATATTGTGCATTATAATAGCTTGTAAAGTCAAAGGAAATTATCTTTTATAACGGACGCAATATCAGATTTGTTCGTTCAGAAAGTTTGTTTTGGCAAAGTTTAATTTGTTGAATGAGTGTATTTTACTCTGAGAAGAGAGAATGTGAACATAAACTCATATTTTTACAGAACTCAGATGATTTAACGCAATATTTAGATATTTTAGAAAGATATTAAGTATGAAATATAGATAACTTAAATAAAAACAGTTTGTTTATTATACCCCATGTCGTGCAGAAAATCAACCCACGCCCATGTGTATTCATTACATTTACAGAAAGACGCATGGAAATAAGAGTAATTGTCACTGACAAATTTTGTGATTATAAATTGCTTTTACGGAATGTCACTTTAATACGAATGGAATTCTTTTTTAGCTTTGGAGATTTAAATAACAATTTGCTTACAATAAAAACCAGAAATTGATAGAGACGCATATTTACTTGGCATATTACAAATTGTGACAAATTAGAGGGTGGATTAGATTGGTAGGTGTCCTCCCGAGAAGAGGGTATTATATTTCCAAGCTGTCAGTGTTATTGATATACCTGTAAGGTAATTATACAGGTGTGTTTACATTTTTTATCACGTATATATTTTTTATATACTGCTCATCGCCCATGCACTGAACAATTTCTTGAAAGTTTTAATTTATTTTCTATCGTTTTTTCAAAAATGTTCCGACTTTAGTGTTTGATTCTGCAAAATAAATGTTTTGATTGAATAAATCGAGAAATAAAGTCATCAATTGTGTAATAAATCAATCATTAAATTCAGATGAAACTCAGAAGTCATCAAAAGGATTTTGAAGAAAATAATTTTACAATATAATATATACTGCTAATTGTTTGAGATTAAAGGTAATTTCGACCACACGGCAAGAAGTACTTTATTTAGATCTTGTTCATAATATACATATATTTATCAGAATAATTATTACTTCTAAACTAGTAAGTTTATCAATACTAAACACTACTGTATAAATATGAAAAGCTTTTCAACAATCAGGAGGTTTAAGTTCTTGGTAATTATGTGAACTGTTGTATAGAACAGTAACATTGTTGGTGAAGGTTTTTGGTTGTCCTGGACTTTGAATAACTACTACAGTATTGAAGTTGAACACACATAATAACAAACAATACAAATACTATCATTATTCTTCCATTTCTAAACAATTTCACCTCATGATCAAATTCTTAATGTACATAAACATTTGACAGCTACTCCATTTCTAAATACAACGTTTTTCTCTCCTTTTTAATGGTTTTATTAATCCGCCTTTAACGACATAAAACTAATTGAGTCAATGGTTTTGATACTTCCGCCACCTTTTCAGAATACTGCAGGCTGCTTGAACTGTTGACAACAGGCAACATTTTATAGAAGGAAAACATAAATTCTTAAAAATAATTATTCTTGAGGAAATGTAAGATGTTATTTGGACCAGAGGACAGTTTGAAGGGGTATTAAACAACATTAATATGTAAATGGGGATAATAAATGAGCAATTGATGTGTTCCCTTGTCCCGTGGTCAATTTTAATGACAGATGCTCCTTAATCCTGACAGTTTTACCAATCAAAACCACTTCACTTTCAAGATTAAAATAGTCTTTTATTTGAAAGAATGCGTTTATCAATCTTATAAACTCAGAAGTTTAAAGATGTTGTCTGAAACGTTTGTCCCACGAAAGATGACAGACCTCAACCACGACACAGAATGATCCCCAGAAACCCAGCTAGTATTTTATCACCAACGCAATTTGAAGATCTTACGCCAAGACAATTTTCTGCAATTTCACTTCGTCGTAAACTTGTGCATCAGGAACCTCGAGGGCGATCTATCCTTGTTGATGCTTAATAAATCTCTAATTAAATATTCATTGGATTTTCATCCTTTGCCAAGAAAAGTAACCATATCTGACACTAATAGTCGCACTTGAAACAGTTTATACTCTTTAAAATAATGATCTGCAATGAGAACCACCCACATCAATTCAATGAATGAGATAATTAGGGAATCATTGATGATTTTTAAACACCTATGTTTAACAGTACATCGTTATACCTCATCAGAGCATCAATGACCATTACAACAACAATACATTTAGTTAAGCAATTGTCTTTAATTTTAGTACCGTATCGGATGTTACTCGTGATAGTGAATTATTTTATGGACTTTGTAATTTGACACATGGACAATAAAAGCACTAGAACAAATTTATTGGGCTGGTGAAATTTCAGCTCAGTGTAAATAACTATACACATTTAAGGACTAACAGTTTTGGTTGATTCGCGCAAAGCAGCCGGAGTTGTACGAAAGTTGTCATTTTGATATTCCAGCAGCTCTAGCTCACATTTATTTCGAACAATCAATGCTAAACATTGTGACTTTTAATCCACTGTCCAAATATAACCTTCTTTTATCACTTTCGCTTCAAACGTCAAAGTTTCATGGTATTAATGTCAGAAAATAACCATGATTTGTTTGTAACGAGATTGATAGATTAGAATTTAAAGAGGTGAATTGAGGAGCAAAGTAAGCCGCAGTTCAAGTCTTTTAATTTGTTGATGGAGGTACTATTACGATTTAAAGAGAGTTCGGCTCATCTTATCCTCGTTTTTCACGTTTCAAATACTGGATGGATCTGACGTTGTGACAGAAGTCGTTTTGTAATTTGGCGGGGAAAGTGACTAGGATCAGACGGCTTCAATCAAAATTGTTGAATAAGTGAAAATAAACACCTGTTGTTAAATGTCGCCTGTATCATTCATTATCAGATACGATGTTTTGCATTTAAAACTATCGAGAAGCTTTTTATTACATCATTAGTCCAACCGATTTTACATATTATTCTGTAGAGCTACTGAGTTAAAGAGATGACAAAATATTGAGTTAAAGGGTGTTTTTTCTATAAATATACAGTTATAAGCTGTTTCTTCAGAATAGTTTTTATATTCAAATTTAATCAGTAATGTGTTAATTATACCGTTATTAGAATGTTATTTTATCAAAATAATTCTCCAATAAATATAAAATAATGAAGGTATTAGTAGTGACCCTTGTCTCACCTAATTAAATATCAATCTACTTGCAATAAGGATTAACCATATTTTTTGTTAATATATATTGAATTTTGGCACAGGTGTTTCTTCTTTTTATACCTAGCAATATTGCTAAGGTTAGATCTATATTTTTAAGCTTCTATAGGCTTTTTGATGGCTTTTTCGAAAAATAAAATTAGATCCGATTTCTGTTTGTTTTTAGTATAACGACGGGAGCTCAGAACGTGCTGAGAATTTAAGGGCTTAAATTCTTCACTTTTTTTTTTATTGAAATTTAAATCGTATTTAAGTTTATTATTATATTTTGGGGGGAGGGGGGGGGGGGCGCATAGAAATAGATTACAATTCTACAAAACATATATACTTACTAGATTTAAAAAAGAATAATTATGCAAAATAAAGTTGAATGAAGCCAAAGGTCGAATGAGACCAGACTTGTTGGTAGCAGATGCTTTAATTACATCCTTTATAAACATTTCTATGTCTCTAAATCAACACAATTTCAATTCATTAGCCTTTTAAATTCAGCTTTATAAGCTACAAATTATCTGAAAACACTGGCATTCATAAATTATTGAGCATTTTCCTGACAAACAATGCGGCTATATATTGATTTAAGTAGAAAATCGAAAGTAGAGGTATTGAAATAGGTGATGATAAATAAGGTACACAGTATAATAGAAATGTAGATTTGAGAATGAACAATGATGAAAATATAAAAGAATTAGAGTAGTATGCTATTTTATTTAAATATTGAACTGTATTTTCATGTGGGCTAGGTAAATAACCTAATGTTTCCTCAATTCAATTAATTTTAATGATTAGCAGCAAATTAACGTTATAGTTCTGTAATTTACACACACTTTCAGATCGTTATTTAAACGACGTATTTGTTGAACTTTTAATCTATAAATATGGAGTTCTGAATGAATTTTCATCGACCATTTCACTAACAAGCTGCATTAAAAATCTATTTTTCTTCTGTTTTATTTATTCTATGAAAACATAATCTATTTTCTTGTCCCAAAGGGCCAATTAATGCAGTTTATATTATTTGACAATAAAGAAGATTATCTCTTCAAATTCGAGTTTATTCTTATTATTTTGTTCTAATTGAACTTGAATTTGACTATGATAATTTCTCGTCTAAATGATGACTTAAGGCCTGTGTCAAGCCATCTTCACAATGTCAAACTATGACGAACTTCGTACTTATACAGTAGTGGCCTTTCTTCAGTAGCATTTCTATAGGAAACATCAGGTGAGGACGCCGGGCAGGGGTAGCAAAATTTTCCAAGGGGGGGCCACAGGTCATTCTTTCTTTATGTAAAGTGATGAAAAAAAAATGAAAGCCAGGCACTGCCTTTCTTATATCATGAAAGTTTGTACATGAATATGGCCAATCAGAGGCATTGACATACAATCTTGGAACACAAAGCCCGCATAAAGCTTGTTTCAGTTTGATTCCTTTTTTGTGTAGACTTTTGGATTGTGTACAAATATTAAAGGGCAATAATATAACCAGTTTTCAATGACATAATCAGGAAGAGAAACATGGGACGAAACACACTCGATTTAATTACATTTGGAAAACCTACAGTATAAGGTATATAAGTCTTTTAGCTGATTCTCTTTTTTTCGCATATTTTAATTTCATTGTCACAAATCGTACGAAATAAATACGTTTTTGCAATAAATATACAATATACAAACTAAACTATCTCTTCATTAACCGTGGATACTATCAAATATTTAATTATGATCAAACCCAATACTGCTTTTTGTTGAGTACAGGAACACTAAATTTAACCTTCCTTGTATCACTTGGAGAGAGATTGTGGTTTAAATCGTAAGAGTTCAATGTAATATGTCCATCAGATTTAGATTGACCAGAGTCTTCTTTGTTCTGACTAATGCTATAGGATTCACCACTTGGTAATGGTGTAGGAGCTAAGCCAGGAAGGTTTCCTAATGATCCAGAATTGATACCCGCGCTTACACTCCAATTTCTAAATATCTCTGCCTCTCTGGCTAAAGTAACATGACTGTTTTCTGTAGTGTGAAGTGGTGGACCATCACCGGAACTCGTAGAGAAGCTATTTTGTCTTGTGGATGGCCCTGTTCCAGATCGGGTGCCACCATTATAATATTCAGGACTTATTTCACTATTACAAGAGGATGTGGGATTGGACCTTGTAACAGATGGACCATACGAGGTGATGCTGCTACCAACGTTTGGAAACATGGAGGTGTTATCAGAATACTGCGAGTTGTTCTCCGACATGTCCACACTACTAGTAACAGTGAAATTCAGTTTTGCTTGAGATCCATTTTGAGTGCTAGCTAATGGGTAAACGGAATTTGGTGTATTGTTGAGTCGACTGGCATGGAATCTAGAAATACTACTTGGTAGACTGAGTGTACCACTAGCACTCTCTGTAAAGCTGGTTGTAGCTGACGTGTGCTCACTTGGGATATTGTAGTCTTCTGTTCGTCTTGAAGGGGGTCTATTATCAAAGTAAGTATGAATTGAAGATAAATCAGCACCACCAGTAAGAGAGGGTGGAGCTCTTCCAACAGCCGGATATATAGTTGATGGTAGACTGATGTTATCATTGATGTGAGTTGATGTTGCTGAATCACCACCACGTAAATTATCACTACATTCAGATACCACATCAAATTCATCAGTGGGAGTGTTGTAATGAGGGAAATGCTGTGACTTCTCTTCAGACTGTCGAATTACTGGATTGTCTTCATAATACTCGTCATTTCCAAGCTGATTTGGATTTTCAGCTGCATGATTACCTTGTGGTTCTGTCCAGTTGGATGACTGAGCTTCTTTCGCAGATTCAGTCAACCAACTCATCTGATAAGATGAGAACCTTTCTCTGTGTGGTTTCGTCTCAATAGTGTTTTTTGAATTTATAGTGTCATTTTCATCAATAGGTGATAAAGTTCTAGAAGGACCAAGTACCTTCCAATGCTCTTCTATCCCTACTTTCAGTGGTGCTTTTCTTGGAATGGGTGGTATCTGTGATTTTTCAAACGTGCTGGCACCAATAGATCTTGCTGAGTTGTTAGATCTAATTGAATCTCTGGAACCAGTATCATGTTTTATACTGGCACTAATTTCACTAGAATATATAGGCACTGGTCCTGTTGGGACATAACTTCTCAATCTCTGTTTTTCTTTCCAGTTTTGATAGCAAAGACAGATGGCAACGAACATTAGGAACATACCAATTAATGTTATAGGAGTAATAAAGCCCCAACTGACAACACCTGATGTATAAGGTATTCTTTCAGTTGTAGTGGTAGGTAATGTATGGGAGGGTAATCCAGATAACTTGGAAAAATAATTAAACACAGAAATATTTTGGTCTTTGAGAACAGATACAAGCTTGTTTTCCAAATCTGCTTGTTGATGAAACAAGATAGATTTGAGCTGTGTTGAGTTGTCACTTGTTGAAATATTAAACCCATTGTTGACACCAATCTGAGAAGGAAGGTCACTGAGTAACTTGTCTTGAACTGAAGTTTTATCTATTTCTGTTGATACTGTCAGGTTTTCAACTTCATATGGAAAAGTCACATTCTCTATTGGGCCCATTTTCAATCCAAAAACACAAAGTAAGGCCAATATATATCTCTTCCAAACATTATTTTCATTTTTTATTTTTAAATTTCTAAGATGAAATTCACAATGACAGACTATACACTTCACAAGCTCTATTGTTTCTATCTAATATTACTGTGTCCTATCACACTAATCAAATATATAAACGTGCAGTCCATAATTTAATTATTCATTACTGTTATTCAAAATATTTGATTTTCACAATTTTGACGAAGAAATTCATTTCTAACCGCCATATTTACTTTTTACACCGGAAGTGGCACTAATAATGTAAGGTGGGCTATAGGATGTCTATAGGTAGTTAATGTTTAAATACATTTCAGCATTCTTTTTCTTTCTTCTTGATGTATATTGACATACTTTTCCAATATCCATTGATATTTTCTATTCAATCTGTCTGTAACAAGATTTGTTTTATTTTGTAAAGGTCTTCCTGCACCACCAAAATAAAATGAACTCTTCCACGTTAAAATATGCACGTGACCACTTCGACTAATGTCGTTGATTTATGCCAACAAAGGGGGAAGTCTTCGTTGGTTAAGAAATTCCGGGGTTCGAATTAATGAAACCTATAGAAATGTGCCTCTTGCCTTCAAGACCATAGTACAATCCAATAATCCAAAAATTCAAAACACATTTGCCTCCAATTATAATACGGGAAAAACCATGCCAACAATTAGTGAGAAGGTGAAGGGGTACCAAAATTCTATTAATCTTGTAAGTTCAAAAGTTTTAGAACCTGGTTGCTGGATAAGCAAAAATATTCGTCATACGGGGTGGGGGAGGGTCATGTGAGCCTTTAACGACTGGAATTCATTCACGATTTCATCAAAATCTTGCCTTGTCATGAATCGATCCTACTCTTTGATATATCCTGTTTGGATGTAATCACTAGACCTTATACATGTATCACTAATATCAGTCCTCTGGCACCTTTCCTTTCTGGGAGAATGAAAAAGGTTTGGAAAATTGGACAAGAATTTCCCATTCCATTACATGTAATATCATTTTATTTAAAACAACTAATTGCGATTTTCAAATTTTATTTTGAACATCAACTTTAGTAACAAAATAACACTGTGACTTGTTATAAATAGTTAACCTCTTGTTAGTCATATATATTAGTAACAGTCTATATTCATGAATATACTATATTACAAAGTACATTAGTTAAAATAATTCAATTCCTTCTGGACAAGACCTTAGAAAAGCAATTATTGAATACTTGACCGAAAAATATTATGTATACCAGCAACACTGTTTATAATTTTCATGAAATTGTTAGCCCTTTCAATGTGTTAATTGAAGTTTAAAATAAGCTCAGAGGAATATAGTAAATATTTTATAACACAATAATCTAATTAAATAAAATCTATACATCATATAAAGATTTAGATTATATATTTACACTATACACATAACATCACTGGTTTACACTTTGTGACAATATTTTCAAATTTTCTTTTTTAGTATTGAACCAAGATAAAATTATTCTCATAATTAATATTACTTCTAATTACAATTCTCTAATGTCTACCTGAAGGACATATAGTAGGGACTTTACAACATATGTTTCTTCAAATACTAAAATGGTCCTAAAGGTATTGTAAAGAGGTTTTCTAAAAAAAAATTATATGTATTGGGGACATTGATATCATCAATTTGCAGCATGTTAATATTAATAAGACGTCTGTGGCTCTTGCAATTATACTAAAACTGGGCAATTTATGACGTCACAATCGCAAAGGTTCTTATATATAAATAGTCGATTTTGAGTTAGTTATGTCATAAAGTTTTCGACAAATTGCAATGATGACAAACGTTTGACTGAAAATTTACATCGTGCAAATCGATGATATCATTGTCCCTGATACATATAAAAGTTTGAGAACCCTCTTTACTATCCCTTTAATATGCAATATCAAGCTGTGATTGAAATTAAGAAAAATAACAGAGTTCAACATTCAATAGTCCATATATATCTTTTCAAAAGTGTTTTTAAACCTTTTTTATTTTTCAAACAACCAGTTATGAAAATATTCAGCTGATCATCAAATTTAAGAATGTTTTGAAATTGAAGCTAGTTTAAAAATCATAGAGAAATGATACTCTACAGTAGGTTCAAATAAAAGTACAGAGAGCATCAAAGATTTATTCAATACCCTTTACTGACAGTCAATATTAGTAAAACCTCAAATCTATATACATATCACAAATAATATATGGCTTTAAATGCTTGATTACATGGTAATTTCTAATTCAAAGCAAATACTTAAATAATCTAAATAAATAACTATGATATGTCGCAAAAAAAAGAACAAAATGTAAACTTGTGCCATTCATTGAAGTCGGCAAGCTTTGTCTGAAAAGTCAAAAATTAATTTTTTTCCATTCAGAGAAAGCTCAGTCTAATTAGCAGCACACCTAATTTTCTGTCCTTGGATTTTGTGACCCAATCAAAAGGTGTATTCCCAGAAGCATTATACTAGTTTATCAACTGATTACACCTTTTGTTTGCAACCCAAAATCCCAGCGTTGGAGGGAAGAAATTTGAATGGATGAATGTTCAAGAGACCAGTCATCAGGCCCCAACTTAAGTGGCTATATCAAAATAAAGTTAATAAAAAATGGAACAAAAGTTTGGCCTAATTCTAATTAGATTAGAGAAAGCTCTGCTTACAGATAATTCAAGACATCATGTGCATTGTAACTTTCGAACAGTGTAATAATTCACATGTTAAAATCAGACCAAGAAAAGCATAATATTCGATGTAAGAAGACAATTATTCACTACTGAACTAAACAACAGTTGAAAAAGAATAATAAATAAGAAAATTGAACACATACAAGAAATTAACAAAAAATAATTTGTTCTTTAAGAAATATGTACATAACCTTTTATATTTGTGTGAAATAATAAGGTACATATCAATATGGTTTATGTTTTGAGTATTTGACATTATTTCAAATGAAGTTAACAAATTTGTAATACCAGGAGCCAATTATAAACAAACCAAAATAGTAGAAAATCAGGATTCAGAGAATTGCAAAATTTGATTTGTGATAATAAATAATGTAGAAAATATGACAATGTAACTTTAATCATGATACATTTTTCATGAAATATGGCTCCTACTTAAATGGATAAGTCTTTGAGAAGCAAAAGGCATAAAAATGAATAAAGCATCGAAGTTATAATTTCATTTCTCTATTTCAGATGAAATATTGCTTAAAGATGATCATGATTTTAACAATAAATGGCACAAATTATATACAAATATACTTGAAATTAAGTAGTATTATATCAATAATCCACAACATTATGCTTTAGGAATGATCCAGGTATAGACAGGATAGATTATGCTATAAAAAATACCATAAGCACACTTCTTAGTAACTAATTTACAGCCATTTTGAAGCAGGATGGAATTTTAATATCAATAAGCATGTGACATCAAATGCTTGTATTTTTCATAGTGTACAATTATGGATTTGTAAAAGGGCAGGATTGATTGAAATTGTTAAGGAGTCAAATGGCATTCTCAGATAACTAAATAATTTATAATAGAACAAGGCTAATCATGCATATCCAGTATCATCAATTCATAAATTATAATTCAGAAATGTAGAATGAACCATGCTAAATTTATGTTATTAAAATAATGCAATTTGTACATATTTTTGTTCCAATGTTAATATTCAGTTCAAGGATTAGTCAAACCCTCTGAATGTTTTACCTTGTGGGCCTATGATAGAGGCCATATGCCCCTGATAATTGATATATTTCAATAGTACCTAGATGTGCATCTGTATCTTTGCTCGACTTAACTTAACTCAGTTTTCTCTTGTATAATTTGGCCTAGATAGTTACATGTTCTGAAGGTCTTTCGGAACATCTGAAAATAACACAACATAAATAAATAAGTCATAGTCTGAAATAATTGATAAAGACTTTTGAATCTAATTTTGACTATTTTCAACTCGTAATACAATTGAGAAAGAAGTGCCTCCACATAAATACAGGTCAATAATTCACTCTTGCTTAGTTGCCCCTGCAAAGTTTAACAAGAAACAAAACGGTCCCGCGCAAACAGATCAGATCAAAGTTGTCCTAAAGAAAAGTTCTTCTACCATGTTAATATGTGGGTCTATAAAACGTTAAAGGTTTGATGTTGTAATTTGAATACAGACAGCTCTTATTAATCATGTGTTAAAACACCAATGGCTGAAATAATCCCATTTCATATTTATATACCTGATTTTTTCAAGCCTGTTGCCTTGACAAGCTCTTCCAAACTGAAACCATTTCCATTTACATCATAAGGTTTTAGTGCTTCAATAGTACTTGAATGCATAAAGTTCTGGAGTTCGTTTTCACCAACATGACCATCAGGCGATTTGGATTTCCACATTTCATATTTACTTACTAAATCTAAAATAACAAAATTCAATCAAAATTTTGCAATTCCCTTTTCGGAAAAATATATTTAATTTTAAGAGAAAATGTCCTGCAAACTGCTACCTTTCTATTCATGATAGTCCCTTTCTATGGAAGGATTAACCAAATTAATATATTTGAAAATCATGAAAATGCCATGACTGATATATATATATATATAATGGTAAAAAAAATGAAATATTTTCTAACCTTCATATGATTTCACTGTAGGAATGACTACTGGTGTAAACTGAGTACTTGTTTCTAAAATGTACAAATAAAAATTCATTGTATCAATTCTTTAATTTTACTCTTAGTTATATTAAGTCATAGACTAGTTAGACAGTAGTAAATCTAGGAAAAATATCGGTAATTTTAAACCGCATGACTTTTTTGGATGAAATACAAATTTGGCATAATTGAGACACCATAATATGGAGTGGTAGTTTTTTCTGCAATTTTCCTTTATCTTTATCTTCACAATGTCAATACCTTGACTGCATTAGCCACCTTTCTTATATTTCTTAAGTTTGTAAATAGACCGATTGGACTGGATCAGTCAACCAGATCCCTCGACAGAAATATTCTAAAGATCTGAGTAAGAAATGTGCAATCGGGTGCTATGATCGGCTGTATTTGCTAGTGTGCAACCCACTCAAATTGCTGCATTTATAAACTTCTGTGATATGCAGTTCGTAATAGATTGACATTATGAAAATGACCTTACTAAGACCTACATTATTTCTTATTTGTAGGCTTCTATTTTACTTCTTACACCTTACATTTTGAATTTAAATAGACAGGAAAAGAATCATGATTATCCAGTACTAATAAATACAATGACCTGTATGAGAGGTTGGGGTAGTAGTTATTGATAGGGGATTAACTGAACTAGAAACATTCATATTTAACACTGAACTTATATCTACAACATACACAAATACAACTGAACTATGTCAACAAATAAAATACTATAAATAATATTGAAGCACATTAAGTACAAAAAATTACAGCATAAGCCAATTCAGATCTATAAGTGCGTATGCGCAACACACTTATTCCCTTCTTCTGTCTTGGGGTAAACAATGTTGATTTTTAACGGCAATAAACTACAAATACAAAGGGTTTACTTCATTCACAATCATCAGACTGGTGATATACGCTGTTAACTGAGAAAAGTTGCTTTCCACAACTTTCCTAATGAGAAATGGATAACTGTCAATTTTATTCAACCCTTTATATTGTATCTTTTTCAAACACTTGCCATAGACTGCCATGTTAATTCAGCCTAATTTTTTTTACCCTGTGGCGTAAAAAGTAAATAGCGTGTTGCACGTGCGCACATATAGTTCCGCTGTTACAATGCCTATTCATACACATGTAATTAAAGGATTGTAAAGACTTTTTCTTAACTCTTTATATATCATAGGAACACTGATTTGCACCATTCAAATTTTTCGTCAAACATCTGTGGTACTTGCATCCACTAAAACTAAGTATTTTGTGACATAACTATTGGCCTTCAGATAACAATTTTTGCATTAGTGAAGTCATATTACATTCAGCATTACATAAACTATAAGGTGACAGAAAAATTAAATTCATTTATGGTCCTGATACACATAAAAAAAGCTAGAATATCTCTTTACAAACCACTTAACACAAACATAACATCTTTAACACAAAGATTAAAATATCCACAGTTCAGTGTATCAATCAATAATTTTTAACCTTGCATGCAATACTAAGGTAATTTCTAAAAAAAACATTTAAATAGAACATAACTTACTTTCTTCATGTGCAATATATTGTTTCAAAGCATTAACAGTGGTAGATACTACATGTAACTTATTAGTATTACCAACTAATTTACTGGTTAAAACTTCTACATCATCATGTAATTTTATTACTGTTTTATTTAACATCTACAAAATATATTAAACTTTTACTCATACACATATCCTGATCATGTCATGGAAACTCATGAAGTAGTAACAGCCGATACTCAACCATAGTATATCAACAATATTGCTGTTAACAACGAAGTTCAAAAATACGTAAATGAAAATAAATGAATGGAGTTTTACTTTTCTTTAATTAAAGAACTAAAGGGCAATAATAGAAATTTGGAGGAAGAGGCATAAGCCTACTCTTTTTCGATTTTCAACTATCTAGGTGTGCTCAACCTGTAGACGCTACAGGGTCTCCGATTATTGTCCACTCGTTACGACTAAAAAATTTTGACATGTCAGTCACTCTGACTTGTAGTACAGACAAGAGGAAACCGGGTTGAAAAATCACAGGTGTTATCTTGACCAATGGCGGGATTGAACCCTCAAGCTTTAGGTTAGCCAGCATGTGTCTTAACTCACTAAGCCACCATAAAAAACGTCTTAAAGGGTAATTCTGTAGTTATTAAATCCAATACATATATCCTTTCTTAAATGAAATTACGGCTCACAATAAAATACTCAAGTTGTAATACCTGATACTGATGTTCAATATCTTCTATATCTAATGATTGACTATTGGCAAACATATTAGAATGATCAGATATAATCTACAAAACAACAAGATACATTCGTCATTGGTATCTCAATCATATTTGGGTTTAAAACAGATCAATTGATTTTTTGATCTTTTGGGTCTTTTATGCCTTACTTTAGGAAGTTTATAAAAGCCTTCAAATGATAATAACATACATCATTATCATCATACATTGAAAATTTATACTCATAAGTAAAAAATAAACATAATTCATCTAAAAGAAAGTGAAATGAATATGAAAATTGGGAATCTGAGCATGTAGTCAAACTGATGAGACTAATTGAATTAGACATTCTATTTTGTAGGAGAATCTTATAAAAAATAATTCAATTAAACGTACCTGGGAATGATTGGACATTATTTCATGTACTATAGAGGTTAAATTAGATACTTGTTGTTGTAGTGATGTCATATTATTATTAGTAGATAACATGGTTAACTCTTTCTTCTTTATCTACAATAGAATAAACATCATTTACTAATCATCAGGTATATTACTTCATCACATTAACTTCTTGCAACAGAGAAATGTTGCAAAATGCTAAATATGAGAATGAAACTTATAAGAAAGTGAGATACATATTCTTTACCAACTACTGTTTTACTAATGAATGCTAAGTTAAGTACCATACATGATAAGTAAGTTCACCCAATTTGGTTCCAAACATGGAGTTAGTTAAGGAGTAGGAGATATGTTTATTAAGACAGTGGACACTACTACTCAGATGTCGGGATTCACAGTACACCTGATTCTTATGCCAACTGTACTAAAAGTCTAGATATCTTGATGAGATATTTATATCCGATACACCATCAGCAATATGATGTGAACTTAGAAAAAAAAACAACAATCAACAAGATGGAAATATTCTCACCATATCATTTATTACTGCAGATATTTGTTCTTTCATATTGTCTGTAGGAACTGAAGCTAGCATGCCTGAACTTGTCTTATTAGAACTTATATTTTCTAAAACATTAGTCACTGAATTCTCTAACAGTTTCACTCGGTTCTGAAATAACAAGTTCTAGAGTTTCTAGTAGCCGAACGTGTAGAACTGTATCTTATTTATTGATTAAAACATCAATTCCAAACAAAAATTAATGTTACTGTTTTTTACAGACACAACAAAAGCAATATGATCCAATTAAATCAATCATAAAAGAAAAGCTCAACACCTTTATAAAGATGAAATTAATGAAAAACACAGAAATTGAACTTACAGAAATATTAGTTTTTAAATTGTTGACTGTATTAAGTATAGTTTTATTAAGAGAATCTATATCTTCATGTAATTCTATAAAAGTCTGAAAAATAGATCATCAAAAAATGTGAGATTCTGTAAAAAATAAGTTACAAATCAAAAATGGAAACATTGGCTTTGTCCAGCCAGCAAATCTCTCTTAAACTGTTTTATCATTTTATCTTTCTAAAAATATCGCTCTGTTGTAATGTAATACTGTGAGTTTTATGAAAATTGTTTTGAGAAGACAAACAACTGAAAGGAATCCAGGTTTCTCACCTGTCTGACAGATACCAATTTACTTTCTCCATCTTTTGAGTCCACAGGTGTATCTACTTCTCTACCACCTTTATTCTAAAAATATTATCAAAATATAAATATCAATATCCTGACATTATGACTTATCTCAACATAACCAAAAAATATAAGAGAAGATCTCACAGAAACCAAGAATTGAACCATAAACAGATATAGTTTAAATATTTGTTTAAACAGTTTTCACAACTTCTACTCATTTAGCGAATTCACTTTTGAGATTGAAATTTGAGGCCTAGTTTGTCTACAATCAAGTCAAAAGATAGCTTGCGTTGCAAGATAACATATGCCCACTGGCAGCTGTCAGAAATAATAAAACAGTCTTTAGTGACTAAAGTACAAATTTTCTCATATTGAAGAAATTATTTATGCTGAATAATTCCACAAAATTTTTTAAAATCAATATCAATAACCCAAATACAACAAACAATTCAATCACACAGCTCTAATCAAGGGCAAAAAACAACTTTTGACGCGTGTTTACAAAGTCAAGGGCAATAACTCATAATAACTAATAAATCGGTTGAAAACTGTAGCTTCTATTGTGCTCACAAACAAATTTAGACGCGTTTTTCGTAAGTTAATGGCATTAACTCAAAAACATTTCATCGAAAATGCGTCAAGTTAGAACTTGTCCGAGATCTTATCAATTCCAATGATCACACCAAGTTTCATCAGAATCGGTTGAAAACTGTAGCGTCAATCTTGCTCACGAACTATTTTTAACAAATTTTGTCGCATTTTTACAAAGTCAAGGGCAATAACTCAAAAACCGTTCATCGAAAATACGTCAAGTTAGAACTTGTCCGAGATCTTATCAATTCTAAAGATCACACCAAGTTTCATCAGAATCGGTTGAAAACTGTAGCTTCGATCCTGCTCACGAACTATTTTTAACAAATTTCAACACGTTTTAACAAAGTCAAGGGCAATAACTCAAAAACTGTTCATCGATAATGCGTCAAGTTAGAACTTGTCCGAGATCTTATCAATTTCAATGATCACACCAAGTTTCATCAGAATTAGTTAAAAACTGTAGCTTCAATCCTGCTCACAAACTATTTTTAACAAATTTTGAAGTGTTTTTACAAAGTCAAGGGCAATAACTCAAAAACCGTTCTTCGAAAATGAGTCAAATTAAAACTTGTCCGAGATCTTATCAATTCAAATGGTCACACCAAGTTTCATCAGAATCGGTTGAAAACTGTAGCTTCAATCCTGCTCACAAACTATTTTTAACAAATTTCGACGCGTTTTAACAAAGTCAAGGCCAATAACTCAAAAACCGTTCATCGAAAATGCGTCAAGTTCGAAATTGTCTCAGATCTTATCAATTCCAATGATCACACCAAGTTTCATCAGAATCGGTTGAAAACTGTAGCTTCAATTCTGCTCACGAACTATTTTTAACAAATTTCAAGGCGTTCTAAGTCAAGGGTATTATCTCAAAAACCGTTTATCGAAAATATGTCAAATTCGAACTTGACCGAGATCTTATCAATCTAAAGCATCACACCAAGTTTTATCAAAATCAGATAAAAACTGTAGTCTCTATAGTGCTCACAAGAAATGTTGACAGACGGACGGACGGACAGGGGCGACGACAATATACGACCACATATTCATGTGGGAGTATAAAAAATGCCAGAGGAAGCATTGAAGGTAGTCTCAACCCCAATCAGCCCTGTTTTACCTCTAATGCTGCAACTCTCTTCTTCAAATCATCTACTGTTGGAGAAATAGATTTTTGAAAAGTTTTAAAATCACTTCCTAAGGCTGCAAAAGTCTGAAAATAAAAGAAAAAAACTAATCTTTTGTGCTTTGAATTTTTGTATTAATCTGGTAGATATCACAGAATATCAATCTTTTAGGGCACTATTTGATCTCCTTGATAATGAAGTGCTTGGAAAGGCTTTCTACTTTCTTTTTCAATTTATCTTTTCAGGAAGGTTCTTTCTGAATAATATACATGATACTAAATTAATCAATTAATTCCATACTTACATTCGATAAAGTGTCAATTTGTGACAATTTATTCAGATTTTGGATTGATTTCAAATTTTCTGTTAATTTACTTGACTGGTCTGTGATGTTTTTAAACTGAAATGATATAAAACCATATATAATTTGCATTATATCACTGAGTATCAGTAGGTGCTGTTTTAAAATTTTTTGGGTGAAGTGGAAAAGTTTAAAAGAAAGAATATTCCTGTTTCTTAGGTTCAAAATGCTTTTTGGGAGTTTGCCTCAGCTTTAAGTATTTCAATTCACCAACAAATGCTGTGTACTAATGTCAGTCCTTTGACTTAGCCTTAGTTTTTTTTTTCTACAGTTCACAAAATCATAGAAGAGGTCTCAGAGGTATAACCATCTATGAAAGTAAATCATGCTTAATGAACATAAAATGTTCTGTTAGATACTGAAAATAAAGAAGATGGCTTACTCTTAAAGCAAGCTGGGATAAATTTTTCTTAAAAACTAAATTTTCTTGTTTGATTATTTGTACAGTCTTGTTCAAAGACTTGACATCTGACTGTATCTTGATGAATTCTTCGTTGTCTTTTTTTGACTCAAACTCAACTGAAATGATGAAACTTTACATCAAATAAACTTTCTACAAATAAGATGGATTAAAATTGTGTATCAATAGTGACCATTACAGTTTTTAACATCCTTTATTTCTTTATAACATCAGAAATACAATTTTTATGGGTCAAGGGCAATAACTCATCAATCCCTTCAAACATCACTATCTCAATCAATATGCATAGATTCGACCAAATATATTTGGGTGCACATGAAAATAATTTAAGACATTAACATGATATTAAGGTATTTAAGTAAGAATAATTTAAATCTGACATATCGTGGGTGACCGCGTATATGCCATATTTGGTCATTTTGACTTTTTGGTACCGTTCGAAAGCGCGTGATCTTGTGATCAAATCGTATTCTTAGCTTGATTGTAAATAACTCAAAAAGAGCCAATTAAATAACACCTATATAAACAGTCAGATTTAAAACCTCGTCAAATATTATATTGTACAAGGTTCAATGTTCCTTTTCTGCGGATGAAAATGAAAAACCTTGTATACTATATTATTATACAAGTTTTTGGTTCAATAGGCCGGAGATCTCAAATTGTTATACAAGGAATATATTTTCAAAGAATGAAATACGAGTACAAATAGTTTTTTGCATTTTTCTCGAAAAGTAATTCCGCGTTAGATATCGTTATACAAGGTTTCAAGTGGTCACCCACGATATGTAATTACAATAACTACTTATTCTACCTCAAGTTCAATTGTTAATGTTTTAAATTCTTTGAATCTTTTTTGCCCTATATTGTACCAAAATTGATTTTATAAATACATTCCATACATTAATCTTACAAACAAAAGGTAAAAATAATGGGGCATAAACAACAAACATAAATAAATTTTAACTAAATAAATTTTATTCTTTAATGGTTAAGTTTATACATGTATACCCAAGATGTGAAACAAAAATTGAGGAAAGGAATTGTGAACTATGAACTAATATTTGATGTGATTTGATTGGTTGAAAATAACATTTCCCATAAACATACAGAACACTAGGAATATAATATGGACTTGCAAACACAAGACAATAATCTCTGCTCCTATCTTTTTACTCTTCATTCTTAGTGTAACTTGTGAGGAAGCGTTATGTGCACAGTTATCAAAAAAGTAATACCATTATATATGCCTTGTGTTCTTTACATGTTACAGATGTTCAAATAAATCAAATAACAATTAAGAATATATAATATCCGAAGAACATAAAAATAAATGACCAAAAATAAGTTATATCTCAGGTATTATTAAAAAATACCTTGATTAAAAGTTATATTTAAAGATTGAAATGAATAACAATAAATAACAATGTATCTTGTATCATCTAACATTACATTACCTGATACCAATCTATCACGTAGATTATCTAAATCTCTCTTTAATTCAAAGTGCATCCATATTAATCCAGCTGATGCCACTATACACGCAATTAGTGTAATCAGGACAACTAATATCAAACATGATGAACAGTTAGAACAGTTGATGGATCTGAAACAAAAGACAATTTGCAAGTGAAAAAATATGACAAATACTAGGCTTATCACACAAATACAGCATTTGATCAGAAAAACACATATGCTTATTTCAATGGATCCTCTATTTTTGATATTTTTCATGTAAAACAAGTATCATAAACTCCAAAAATAAGTGATTGATAATCAGAGAATTCATAATTCGACAATTCAGAACAGTGTCAGATCAATTTGTCCATATTTCTTATGTCTGTGAGAGTGTGTCCTGAAAGTGAAAATGTATTTAAAATTTATAAATTGAGAAAAATTCTGAGCTTATATTTGCAGATTAGCAACATGATTATTTACCTAAAACAGCCTTTCTTTTCAAATGTTTGCGAAAATTCCTCGATTTCTGATGAATCTGAATCGTTGGATCTCAAAAGCTCATGTCCACTTTTACTTTTTCTTCTTGGCAATTTTCCATTGCTCACCAATGCATCCAACTGTCGCCGTTTTTTCATCCTTTTCCCAGGTTTAAAATCGACATCGACTTTCGTTGTCGGCTCCAGTTTGATTAATTTATGAGTTAGCCGTCATGAAAACTTGTTAGAATGAGTAAATCTCATCAAAAACAACACAAATTTTAACCAAAACCTCTCGCAGACAGAACCGGAAATGGATAAATCGTGACGCGAGAAGCAATACACGATCGATATTTCGTAGCCGAGGTAGAAAATATATATCAAATCAAGTCAAAAATCTTGAAATTATAAATACTAAAGAGGAATTTAACTTATTCGACAATTTAGTCGACAATTTACAAAAATGGAATTTTGGCAATGATTGAGAAGAAAAAGGACAGTTAAATGGCAATATATTCCGAGTTATCTCTCTTAGAAGCGGCTGAATAGACCGTACATACCATTGTATGTGCACTCCACAATTAATGGTGAAATTATTTGAAGTATATTATGATACAAAATAGTACGCTTATATTATGCTGTAAGTGAAAGTTTTAATAGCCCATAACTTACCAGCTTCTATTTGATCTCTGAGCTCAGTTACTTTGCCTAATAACCAAAATGTCATGAAACCTAGCACAGATAAAGCTAACAATATAACTATCACTATAAAAAATTTCAAAATTGAATGGCCTGTACAGGAGCTTTTAAAGTCACTGATTTGATCTGTTGAAGATCTTAAAGATAAACTGCTTCTTTTTCTGAAAAAAAAATATGTTTTCACTTTAAGAGCTTCATTTAATGGAAAAAATGCTCAAATTAACATTCAGTACAGTAATTGATATGGCTAAATGTAGTCCAAGTTTAATTCCTAGCAAAATCTCCCAACTGAAAAGCAAATCATATTTGACTTAGATGTGGGTCAATATAGGCCTGCTGTTATATCATTTTCATCAGCAACAGTGTATTTATTTTCATATTAAGCAACATTCAGACCCCCCTCCCAGTGCTAATCAAATACATTTAGCTATGCTATGCTGTCATATCCTTCCATAATTTGCATTGCAGGTACAACAGTAAGTTTAAATGAAGTTTAAAATGATTCTCATGCATCTGAATCAAATAAAAGCTTACTGAAGATCGTTTTGTGTGATAGATCTGACTTTATATACACTACGGTACTGCAGAGAGATAACCACACTCTAACGTCATCACTGTTTACGATGATCCTGTTATATTCACAAATATGACCTAGATTGAAATTGAGATTTGAAATACGGTAATCCACTAGACTAATGACCCATTGAAATATAACTTTTATAACAAATAAACTTGACAGTAAACTTCCCAAAATATACAATGGTTACAAAATAGCGAAATAAATACTCACTTTCTCGACTTTTTCGGTTTGTTGTTGAAAGAAGGAAGCTTGAGATCTGGTGGATCATCACTATCCGATTCTGAATATAGCAGATTTACATAATCCTGATTTTTGGTTCTTCCATTTTTGGGCTTCATCCTGAACTTTTCTTAAAATTCCTAACACAAATTAACCGTTATTTAAGCAACAACAAGGTTTTTAGTCCACATTTTCTTCCGGAAAAGTTTTTGCCGTGACGTCCTAAAAGTAGTTTAGACCATTTATTGAATTCGTGATCAGAGAATACATAGTTAGTTGTATATTTATTTGTAGAGTTAATTCAATGGTCATGATATGTAATGAAAAATTAAATTATAATCATCTTCGAACTGCAGTACAATAATGTTATTCTTTTCAGAATCTGGTGATACAGAGGAATAAAATCTATTTCTAATTTATCGACTGCTCCTTATTTTTGGACTAAGACCACAACTAATTTATTTTTAAGTTATTGGAATTCAGACCACAGCAAAATTACAATCGATAAGATCAGTTATTTCAAAACTTTTGAAACTATAGTGGTAATCAATAATGAAAAAGTCATTAATAGTTTATCAGCCAAAACACGCTAATAACACGAACTTTCTCATTGAGCGACGCTTTCACTTAAGTTTATGAAAACCAGTGTAATGTAAAAAAAAAAAAAAAAAACTGCAGATTCTACTCCAGGCGAGGAAATGTGTCGGATGGATTGAAATACAATTTTGATCTTGTCATCAGCTCCTTTAATAGCCGAAGCAGCTTTTTCTTGCATGTCCCGATGTATAGATATAATTCTTTGCTTTCAGTCCCACTCTATAGCCCTGTAGAGTTTGAGGATACGAGGAAAAGTCAAATCTTTGCTCTTCTTCCATTTCCATTCTTCTTAAAGGGAATGTAAAGAGGCTTTCTGAACTTTGTATGAGTAGGCTATATCACTCAGAGACACAGAATGAAATGATTTGTACCATTCCAATTTTCAGACTTGTCAACCAAAGTCCCTTATAATATCCGTTTGGTGGAATATAAAATGTTAAGCTAATAATTTTAAACTCCCCATAAATTATATTATAGGATACAAGGTATACACTTGATTTAAAAGCGTATAATTTAAAACTTTTCAATTTCGATCCAACGAATTGCATGTTTAAATGAAAACAATGGGGAATACAGTCTAACCTCTGACGTACATTATTTATAAAGGCATAATTATTAGTCGTCACGTAAAATTTCTAATACAGAGAAACTAGATATTGCGAATGAGTTTATTTGTTATTTATAAGATATGCCATAATGGCATAATATTTCCATATTACAAGTATTCCGCTTGCTGTTCATATCTGAAATCCCAATATTCATGTTTACGATTTTCAGTTGCAGTTTAAAAATTATAGGTTGAGTAAGAGATGACATTAAATAACCATGTACTATATTATTCAACAAAACATTTTATGATCAGAAGTTTTATATTATATTCATATAATTATCTGATAATCAAATTTCTGTTTTCACTGCCTCATAATCCGAACCATCCCTATCATATGCATCATTAGGATACTCCATGTATTTTCCTCTTGGGCCACTGATTTTTGACTGACGCATCTCAGCTTGAAGTCTTCTCTTTTCATTCTCTGGAAGTTCAGCCGGTGGTCTGAGCTTATGTGTATATTGTGACAAATTTCTTCTTGCCAAATAATGGCTTCCATGACTACTTCCGGAATCGGGATGAACCTCTGTATATCTGGAGCTGGTTGTTGATACACCACTAGAAATGTATTGTGGATCCAATGGGAAGTCGAGTTCCTGCTTTGACGGTGGTCTGGTCGGTAATTCATAGATTGTGTCACTGAAATACAGATAATGAATGTTCAGTTCGAGAAGAATAGATTTTCTGAAAACATACCCTTCTTTTCTTGGAAAAAGCAACAATATATCTTATCTTGACACGATGTTCTTTACCACCAAATAGTTTAGACATATCTATATACGTGTACGATAGTTTGTTCAAAAAAGAACAGACGATATCACTATATTTTATCTAATATTATATACTGACTTTAAGTGTTTCAGTTTTCTGAATTAAAATTATTTGTTCTGCTCAGTGCTGGATACCTTCTGCGTTTCTTAAAACATCTGTACGTTAATACAAGGAGAATGGTTACAACAATACCAATAAATGTACCAATAACACCAACTAAATATTTATTAATGTTTTCAGTGTAGTGTTGTACTGGTGCACGTTCAGTTGATACCACCGACCCCTTTCCATCTGTAATAAAGACTACAAAGTAACTTGTCTTGCAGCTCTGGCTTAGTGTGGGACAACAATGAACTGTGGGTTACATCGAATGCTTATCTTGACCTCTTATCTTGTGTTCCTCCATCATTAAGCATTTTTACCTTGGTATCTATTTGATAACTAATTTCAAAACGAAATGTACTACAAACCTGTTGTGCAAGAACCATCAGTTTTAAGACATTTCCCTTCTCTACAATCTTTATCACAAACTAATTCACAGTTCTTCCCATAATATCCCGTATCACATTCTGAACAAATACCAGTTAGTCTGTCACAGTTACTTTGGCATTTAGTTGTATTACAAGCAAATCTACAAGTAGGTCCAAAGAGACCATCCTCACATTGGCGACAGGTCTCGCCTTTAAAACCTTGTTTACACCCATCCCAGCACATACCATTTGTAGGTTCACAAGAGTTTTCTGAACACGTATCGCATGGTGAGCATGATGTCGAACTTTGACTGTAATAACCTGTATTACACTTTGTCCCTGAAAGTGAGAACACGACTGAATAGATCTGCTTTATCGACAGAGATCATCTCCGACAAACAAATTGTCTGACTCTACTATAGCCTGAAAGCTCAATGCTGAGTAGATCAGGTTTTATAGGTTAAATGCTAACCACCATCCTAATCTGTGACTCGATCACGAAGTGGTTATGACTGAATTACTAAATGTTACAAAACATAATCTATAATATATATTTTTTAAATACATGTACGTTATCATTGGCGAGCCTCTGTTACCATACATATATAGATATATAGACCACAGCTGACCTGTAAAGATCCCCACTTCACACAAAGCCAGCGGTCTCGGCACTGTTTCCTCATAAGGGATGCTGATATAAACAAATCTGCCAAATAATGGTATGGTAGAACCGCTGTTGCATCCAGTAATGGTGTAGATAGATTGAGAACTTTGTTTTGGGCCAGTGTAACAAGTTGTTGACATTTCAAAGCCAGCCTGATCACATGTACCTGATAATCCAAGACTTATTTGGAATCCATGCAGACGTTCTTGAGCTTGAAATGGAAAGTAATGTAGTTCTTTGAAACGAAAGATTTAACAATTATTGATAAGACAATAATACATTAAGATTTCAGAGGGGCCACTGGATAAGAACATTTGAAAAGAAGCATCTAGTCGTCGTGCAAAAATTTGAGATCCTATTGGTACATTAAGGTTTTTGAAAAAGCGCGGGAAAGTAAAACACGAAAGTGTTTAAATGGTCCATCATGCCCCTTTTGATTATTTTAATTACCCACCAATTACAGGGCTATATATTTTGATGGCATCAATTTCATACACTTGTTGTAAGTCTGAACACCACCATTGAGTATCTGGTTGAGAACTGTTAGTTTTACTACAGATATTCAGATCTGTATTTCCATCAACAGCATGAGAAGCCATACCATTGACATCAACAGAGCTTTGAGCTGTCGGTTTCCTTGATGCTCTGTTCACATCTACAATGACAAAAAGAAACACTGCCATCTGTTCGTGGTACATGGCGTTTCTAGGAATCATTAGGATACAGACTATTCTCTCCGACCTAACAGAAACACCACTGGGTAAATATCAAACACATTTTGGACAGAAAGAAGTTGCCATATGACATTGTTTATAGGTTTTCAGACCGGGTTCCTCATAAATAGGGTATAGAATAATATTCCCACCTGTACAAACTCCGCAAGTTTTCATACAATGTAATCTAAATAATGGCTCCAATGGAAAGATACCACAGTCTTGAGATGGACAACTTACATAATGATCTTCACAGATTTCCAAACCTTAAATTGAACCAGGATGTACTTGTTGACATACGACATAAGAAGTACACGTATTAACAAACTTTGATCGGAGAAGCTGTTGAACCATTGGCATTAATTAGGGAAAAGCACAGAAAGAGCAAACCCATTTAATGATTTTAATTTTTCTGTGGAACTGCTTATTTATTGAGAGGTTAACGTTATGAAAAGATTTGATAAAAGAACAACCATACACTATACACCAGGGAGAATACATTTTTATACTTAAATGTGCATGTATCAGAAACATCCTCGCAGCATCATACCATTAGTTTGGTTACTTACAAGATACTTACCAATGACACAGTTGTTTATAATACATGTAACAATCGACAGGATAAAATACAAACCGGTGGCCATCTTTCTAATGGCATGTTATCAATTTGCGATTATTATTAATATAGATATGATTAAAGATAAAGCTAATTTATAGATATTCTCAACTTAGGTGTGTTATAATAATTCATCAGGATGTATGAGATAAGTTGTTAAAATAGTATCAGTATCTTTTTAAAAAAAACGGCAGTACTTTATTTGATTGTTGCACAATTGAGTAAATAGTTGGTAAATTGTACGATCACACAAGGGCCAACTAGATGAATGAGGGCTCAGAGAATTATTTTTGTTAAACATATGCTCACCTGCATTCTGAGACCTCTCTATGAATCATTTTGATGCCCGTTACTGTTTTACGGGCCCTGGTTCAAATTAAATTTATCTAAATTTGGAGACTATATTGTAGATATTTCAGAAGAATATCAAAAGGAAGAAAGATGGGGTGGGACATCTGGTGAAGCACAAAGAGAGATCAATGGGATGGGGAAGATATTCAGGGTATTGAGCAGGAACTTATGGGAAGGAGTATTAAATGTTGGGACAGATAGTAAACGGTCAAGGTCACCGATAGACGAAGGACCTGGGGTACCTTGTGAATGGTAGAGACCATTACGAACCAAGGGAGGTGGAGATGATAGAGGATGAAAGGATCAGTAACAAAACTAGCAAACACGGATTTATTACACTTACCATTTAGACAAAAATTTAATTACATTTTTTTCACAAGTAGCCTCAGTGGGCAAATACGTTTGTAGAGAATTCTCTCCATTGCAGTAAAACGTAGGCTATATGAAACGTTGCTATTTGAATTAAACATTCGCAATTCACAAAATTCAATATAACTCTATCAAAGAGATATTAGTATGATGTTTGTAGTAAATCATTTAGTATCAATGTAACTTTATATTAGAGATATATTATTACGATGTAAATCATTTAGTATCAATATAACTCTATCAAAAAGATGTATTATTATGAAGTTTGTAGTAAATCATTTAGTATCAATGTAACTTTATAATATAGATATATTATTACGATGTAAATCATTTAGTATCAATAATTATGTTTATAGTAAATCATTTAGTATCAATACTCATGATGTTTATAGTAAATCATTTTGTATCAATAATCATGATGTTTATAGTAAATCATTTAGTATCAATAATCATGATGTTTATAGTAAATCATTTAGTATCAATAATCATGATGTTTATAGTAAATCATTTAGTATCAATAATCATGATGTTTATAGTAAATCATTTATTATCAATACTCATGATGTTTATAGTAAATCATTTAGTATCAATAACCATGATGTTTATAGTAAATCATTTAGTATCAATAATCATGATGTTTATAGTAAATCATTTAGTATCAATAATCATGATGTTTATAGTAAATCATTTAGTATCAATAATCATGATGTTTATAGTAAATCATTTATTATCAATACTCATGATGTTTATAGTAAATCATTTAGTATCAATAACCATGTTTATAGTCAGTCATTAAGTGTCAATATCACTTTATCATAAAGATTTATAAATATAATGTTTTTAGTAATTCATGTTTTTCTACGAAAAGAAAAAAAAGGAAAAGAAAAACATCCCAAGATTTGCATTATTTATTGATTTATTTACAGAATAAATTATAAGAATATAATATAAAACATAATGTAGAACTATGCCACAGTAACATCTAACATATAAACTTTATTTACAAGTATGCACAAATTTGTTTGAAATTCAAATTGTTTTGGCATGAGAAAATAAATTGGATATAAATTCACATTATATTTACAATGGTATTTAACAGTGTACATGTAGAGTTAATAATACACATACAATGACAACTGACAGTCCATTACTTCATTTCTGTTTCAAGATTTGATCACAT